TACCTTTATATGCCTGAATATTTTTGTTGTGTATATTTTGTTACTATATGTTACATGTTGAATTGTGTCCCCACCAAATTCATATGTTGAAGATCTAACCCCCAGCACCTCAGAATGTGACAGAATTTGGATACAGGGTCTTTACAAAGTTAATGGAGTTACAATGAGGTCATTAGTGTAGGCCCTAATACAATATGACTGGTGTCTCTACAAAAAGGAAGAATTTGGAGACATATACACATACAAGGGAGAACGCCCTGTGAAAGTGAAGACACAGAAAAAGAAGACAATGTGAAGGGACGCAGGGAGAAGACAGCAGTCTGCGAGCCAAGGAGAGAGGTCTGGAACTGATCCTTCCCTCATGGCCCTAGGAAGGAGCCGATCCTGCCAACACCTTGTTTTAAGGCTTCCAGCCTCCAGAAGCTAACGTGAAAGCACAATTTCCGTTGTTTTAAGCCACCCAATTTGTAGTACTGTATTTTGTTACAGCTGCACTAGTAAACTAATACACTATAAAATTCTGCCATAATTTTAACAGTCTTCACTATCAATTGATAAATGACCCCTAGTCCTTTCTTTAAAATCACATTTTACTGTAACATTGTACCCCTGCCTGATCTTCACATTCGATTGGCAGTCCTTTGCTCAGTCTTTTAATTAAGGTCCTGTGCCTCTCTGCTGTAACCCCGGGCCTTTGTTGTACACACATTTGTGGCACGGTGATTGGTGATTGCATATGTGAGCTCTGGAATCAAAATGGGTGGCTGCCATTTGGTTGCTACATGGTCTTTCAGTGCCTCAGTTTTTCCCTTTTATAAAGGGAGTAAACAGCAATTGTACTTGTATCGTAAGACTGTTATGAAGATGGAATAAATCAAAACATTTAAAGTGCTTAGAACAGTGCCTGGCCCACAGTAAGTGCTTGATAGATGTATGGACTGTTATGAATTCTATTAACTTCCCTGTAACGAAGGTACTGTGAGATCACTTCACAGATGAAGAAAACCGAGGCTCAGAGAAGTTAAGTCAGGAAGCTAGCGTGACAGGATTGTCGCAGGAAGCAGGCTCGGGATGGAGATTAATGTTCAGGAAGCATATTGGGGGTGAGCAACAGGAATGGAGGGATAGGGTGAAGAAACAGGACTGGGTTGGGCAGAGGGAAAAGCTGAACTGTCACGCAGTTACAACAAAGGCTCCCCATCCAATGGGAGCTAAGTGGCTTAAAATATGTCACAAATTTTTTGATGCCCCCTTCTAAAGGTAGAGCCAAATTCCCCTTCCTTCAAGTATGGGTTGGATTTAGTGACTCTCTTCTAATGAACAGAAGAAAAGTGAATGTGAGAAGTCAGGTCATACAAGGCACTGTAGCTCCCTGTTTGCTCTCCCTGTGGGATTGCCTGTTCTGGTAGAAGTTAGCTGCCATGCTGTGAGGACTCTCAAGCAGCCTGTGGACTGTCATACAGAGCGAAGTAAGTCAGAAAGAGAAAAACAAATATTGTATATTAACGCATATATGTGGAATCTAGAAAATGGTATAGATGATCTTATTTGCAAAACAGAAGTAGAGATACAGACATAGAGAACAAATCTATGGACACCAAGGGGGGAAGAGCGGGGAGGTGGGGTGAATTGGGAGATTGGGATTGACATATATACACTATTGATACTAAGTATAAAATAGATAACTAATGAGAGCCTGCTGTAGAGCACAGGGAACTCTACTCAGTGCTCTGTGGTGACCTAAATGGGAAGGAAATCCAAAAAAGAGGAGATATATGTATATGTACAGCTGATTTACTTTGCTGTACAGTAGAAACTAACACAACATTATAAAGCAACTATACTCCAATAAAAATTAATTTAAAAAAAAAGCAGCCTTTGGAGAGTCCCACATGATGAGGAACTGAGGCCTCCAGCCAACAGTCACAGGAGGGAGCCATCTTGGATCTCCCAGCCTTAGTCAAGGCTTTGGATGACTGTGGCCCTAACATCTTGACTGCAACTACCTGAGACCTTGAGCCAGAACGACTCAGTGAAGCTGCTCCTAAGTTCTTACCCACTTTATTAACTGTTGGGGTAACTTGTTATGCACAGTAGATACTAATATAGGGAGCTTTGGAGCTGGAACTGTCCCAAACTGTGGTGAGGGAAAGAGGTCTTCATATCCTAAACTGACTAGTCGTTAGATATGGGCTGTCCCCGCCCCCTCTCCCCTCCCCCACCTCCCCAAGGGACCATGACTTTGGGCAAAGCAGTTTTCTTCAGCTGAGGGCAAGTTTTGAAGAGTGACGTAACTGAGAACTGTTGAGAGCAATACTCTGAATAGATCAGGGAACATGTCCTTCAGTCCTGAAAGGTCTGAACAGAGAATCACAGCATCCACTAAAAGATGTTTAGTGGGGCCTCTCCTCTTGTCCCAGAACGAGCGCTAAGCTCACGGCTGAAAACAACATAGTACCCCGTCTTCTAACAAAAGATGCCACAATCGGAGACAGACACTTTCCCCACGGATTAATAAAAGCTGCAGATCTAGCCCTGCTTCCACGGAATACTTTCTCAGTCCTCTCCTTCTCAGTCTATATCGGAAGGCAGGCGAAGGAATGAAAGGAGGTAGTTGGCCTTAGGGAGCGTTTCTGGTGGGAAGTGATGTAGTGGGGAGGCTGTACGATAATCTCTCCGCTATCAGTAAGGCCTACTGGAAGGAGAGGCTGGTGTTCCATTTCCTACCTGCAAACCTGTCTAGTCAGCATTCTTGCTGATTTACTTCTCTCTGTGTTTCAGGAGGGAGGAAGAGGATGGAAGAGAGATGGCAGAGTGGAGAGCAGAGGCCACAGGCAGCCTCCAGTCTGGCCCTTTTGTGTGGCAAGGGCGCGTGTTTCTCAAGAGTCGGGTGGACTCTGTGGAAGATAAATCGTCTCCAGCTTTCTTGCTGGACCCTCACCCACAAGACTTGGTATACTGCTCGGTGCTGTCAGTGGGGTGATGGAAAAGATCGAGCTGAAGGTAGATCTTCCATGAAAACATATGGAGAGGACAAGGCCCATCAGGTCTTCCCATATGTGCCCCATGAAAGGAGTTTCAAACAAGAGCCTGTTATGCAGAGAAGCAGGGATCAACTAAGATAAAACTCTAGCAGTGGCCAGTTAAGAGAAACTTGCCTCAACACAGAAGAAGCCAGGCCTTCAAGAGGATGTTGAGGAAGTGTCTGAGAACCAGAACCATGACTTGTACCTTAGCACCCTAAGAATCTAGGATCCCACTCAAGCCACGAGATCAACACACTAACAGGGTCTGATTTTTAGTAACTGAATTGACCAGAACAGTATCACCTAAGGTGTGGTTAAGGGATAGAAAAGATTCAAAAGAACAGCGATCGGAGAAAAAATGCACTGTTCTTATGTTTGGAAGCCATCACACGGAGAGGGTCCAACAAACTGTTTACACTGATAACTGCCGGAACTAAAGCTCTCTACAGTGCACCAGCATTCCAGAAAGATTGTGTACAACCTACATAGATGAGTGAAATATAGCACACTTGTCCTCAACGAACAAGAAATGAATGTTCTGTTACAAAATAAGTATAAAGCAGGTTTGCTGAAGCAAACAAGTCTGGAATGTGGATCCTTTTAAGGTGTTTCTTTTCCTGTTTCCCTGCTTTGTCTACTGAGACTGACATTTTACCACTTGGAAATGATGGGTGAGTCTGGTGGAAAGGGATCCACGTCTTGAATTGCAAATAGACTAGACAGTGATTATTAAGTCCCTAATGAATTGTTTTAGAATTGCTGAGTTTGAGTTGTCAGGAAGGTATCTAAGACCGAGACGAAGCCCCGAGGGCACAGAGGAGCTGAAAACTGAATATTGGGAAACACCAATGTATCAACCTTCAAAAGCAATTGTAGCTATAGCACCATCACTGTTTTCCTGTAAAGTACCTTACATTCCCAAGAGAGGCACTCGTGATACTAATTCAGGATACCGTTTTACGGAAAAATTCTCATGTAATCCTAAAAGTAACGCACTTAAAAAAACAAATAGCAGAATCAAAGAATTTTAAATAAACAAAAAGCACTGTATTAAGTCAGCTACCAAAACAATGAAGATTTACCTCTCTGCTTATTAGAAAAGTTATTGTTTAAAACATTGACAAGGGATTTTATTTCAACCAACGTAGTATGTTGCCTAGCACCTTACCGCTGCCCTGTCTGGAGGCAATCCTCCCACAAAGCAATGTACTCCTTGTGTGTAGTCAGCTCTTGCTGGGAAAAAAAAGATTAGGCAGGACCGTTTCTGCTTTTAGGTTTTCATTTCTATGCACTGTCAGGACCCAGGGCCTGCGAGCCGCGCCTCCCCACACTCTGCGGACCCCGTTCCAGGGCGCGCGCCGAGGGAGTACCCACAAGCCCCCGCGGCCCTGCGAGGCTGGGCGAGGTCATCCGCGCTCCCCGAGACCTTGGCCCCCGGCTCGGCGGCGGGGGCGGGGGCGGGACGGCCGAGCCGCCCGCCAATCCACGTTTTGCAGGCAGGGAGCGCGGGGCCTCGGAACGGGCAGGGAGAACTGCCTAGTCGAGGACGGACACAAGGCCTCCGTCTTCAGAGCCCCCGAAAGAAAGCGAGGGAGGACGAGAGACAACAAGAGGAAGGGACTGGAAGGGAAGGCAGCCCCCAGTTATCACCGCCTTAAAGCCAACTCAACAGCGAAACGCCTATTTGCCCCGCACAGCCTGACGGGAGCCTCAGCCTCGAGGTACTGGCTGCGCCCGCAACGCGTCCCTGGCACCGCCCCCTGCCGCGGGGCACGCCGGGAGAGCCGAGTTTCCCCCTTCCTCTAGTAAGCGGGCGAGACGAAGGGTATTTCCAGTGTTAACGACTATCTTTACGGAAGAGGTGGGGTTAATCCTGTCCCGCCCTTCCTGGCCGGCGGGGCGAAGACTGACAGTCTTCGGCAAGCGCTAAGGCCCGCCCCTGCACCGGAAGGAGGAAGGCGGGGGAGTCGAACAGGCGTCAGGCGCGGTGTCACGTGTCTCAACTGCTGGTGGAGAGAAGAAAAGGGCGGGACCCCGGACGGAGGGGTGGGGTGCCCTCCTTTCCCTTGGGTCACGCGCGGCAGGAAGTGGTTCCCGAAACGGAGTATTCGAGATGGGGACCGCCCTGGACATTAAGGTTAAAAGAGCGAACAAGGTTTATCACGCCGGGGTAAGTAGGGGTGGGTGTGCCTGCAGGTTCTGTTGTCTCCCAGGTCCCTCATACTTCTGGGTTTTCCTGGGCGGGGCAAGGCGCACCTCCAGGTAAGTCCCGGTCAGGTGCGGACCAGCCAGGTGCATCCCTGCCAGGTGCGTCTCGCTTGCGCGGCTGGCTGCTCTAAGAGCGGCCCCCGCCGGAGTCGCCGCCGGGGTTGGGGAGGCATGCAGGGCCGAGAGGCTGGCCCCAGGGCTGCAGCGGTAACTGTCGGGCCCCTTGAACATCCAGCTCGCCCTTGGGCCCCCGGGCTTGAGCTGTCGCCAAGAGCACTGAGGGGGGAGGAGCTTGATGACCAAACGCCCCGTTCCTCACTTCTAAGTTGAGTGCAAAGGTCTAAGGACAGAAAGGCAGAATTAACCTTGGAAGCAGAAATACGCTTTTAGGCCGTGCTCAGCTTTAACACCATACAAAAGTTATTCATTTCTCTGGTTTTGTTGTTTTAATAACATACAAAAGGAATAGCATATTAAAATGCAAGTCAGAAAAAATCTTAACTATGCCATTAACAAGTTTTGGGCCACTGGCTGCTCAACCTCTTAGGGCGTCAGTTTCCTTATTTGCCAAATGAGGATGCAAGGTTCCTCTACCTCTAAGTCGGGGAATCTCAACCCTTGCTGTACTTCAGAATCCATCACTCAGGGGAATTTAAAAATACGCTAACTGGGGTCCCACACCCAGAGACATCAGTGATTCTGATGTGCGGCCAGGGTTGAAATCACAGCCAGCTCTCACACTCGGTGGAATAAAATTGAGAGTAGTGGTTGGTCACGTGAATGCAGGGAGGTCTCAAAAGGGCCGCTAAAGCCTTTCGGTGCAAGATATTTGCGGAAACCTAATATTTACAGATTCAATCTGTCATCTCCAGATTATTAATTACAGAGGGGAAAAGTTACCTTTATAGTGGAGGAATCTGCTAGTCACCATCCTAACCAAGACCAACAATTAATACCACCTTTCCATCACTGTCACCACTAATGAGCTTGACATGTTCTGGCATAACAATAGAGGGTTCTGGCATGAAAAACTGAGAAGGATACAACTCAGCTATGTAGCCTTCCTGCCAAAAATGCTTAACTTCCCTCAGTTCGTAAGGAAACAGGCATATTCGTATTGAGAAACATTCTGTACAGTAATTGGCCTGGATTCTTCAAATATGTTAGTGTCATTAAAAAGAACTATTTTAGATTCAAGAGATGAAAGGGATTTGAAAACCAAATACAGTACCTAATTTTTGATAAATTTGAATATGGGCTATATGCTAAATACAAGTTTTGTTTTGGTGTTAATTTTCCCCAGTATGATATTCATATTTTGGTTATGTGAGAGAATACTCCACATACTGAAGTGCTTAGGAGTGAAGTGTCACAATAACTAAATTTTAAATGGTCCAGCCATATTGTGTGTGTGCACACATATGAGGAGAAAGAAAGCAAATGTGCCAAAATATTAACAACTGGTGACTCTAGTTGAAAGTTATATGGGTCTACTTTGTATTCTTTATTGAGATCTAATGGTGTACAATTCAGTGGTTGTAATATATTCAGGGTTGTGCAACCATCACCACCATCTAATTTTAGAACATTTTTATCACCCCCAAAAGAAACCCTGTACCCCTGAGTAGTCATTCCTCATTCCCTCTCCCTCTTAGCCCCTGGCAATCACAGATCTACTTTCTGACTCAGTGGATTTGCCTAATTAGGACATTTCATGTATATGGGATCATACAGTGTGTGGCCTTTTGTGATTGGCTTCTTTCACTTAGCATAATGTGTTCAATGTTCATGCATATTGGAGCATGTATCAGTTCCTCATTTGTTTTAATGGCTGAATAGTAAGCTGTTGTATGGATATGTCACATTTTATGTATCCATTTACCTGCTGATGGACATTTGGGTTGTTTTCACTTTTTGACTATCATGAATAATGCTACTATGAACATTCTAGTACAAGTTCTTGTGTGAACATATGTTTGCATTTCTCTTGGATATATACCTAGGAGTGGATTTGCTGGGTGATATGGTAACTCTATGTTTAGTTTCTTGAAGACCTACCAAACTGTTTTCCAAAGCACCTGCACAACTTCACACTCCACTAGCGGTGTGTGAGAGTTCCAATTTTTCCTCTACTTTGTATTCTCATAACTTTTTTGTAGCTTGGAAAATATCAAAATAAGAATTGGGGGAGGCAGTGACAGGCGATATGTACACTTAACTTTAATACTTATTATTTTCATTCAGAAGTTAGCAGATTCCATTCAAAGATGTTATAGCAGCTGAGATGCTGAAACGTTTTCTGGGGTTTAAAATATGGTGTCAGCAATGAAAAGTACATCTGAAAAAGTTGAAGAGATGGAATCATCCATTTGACCCAGCTGGAAGTCTTAACGCAGCCAGGACCACTCCTTGTGGGTGGCAGGGTGGAAGCGGGTATTAGCTCTGCCCATCTGGTGCACATCCCTTCATGCCAGGATTAGGAACAGAATCTGCACCTGTTGGCTTATGACAGTGTTTCCCAGACTTCACTTTTACACTTAATGTATTTTACACTAAATGCATATTAAAAGGAGACCTCATATGGCCACTGTGAAAGAAAACCCTGTGTAACTTCTCCTAAATAGAGGGTTGCTGTGTACAGTTGACCCTTAAACAATGCAGGGGTTAGAGGTGCCAACCCCACGTGCAGTCGAAAATCTGTGTTTCACTTTTGACTCCCCCGAAACTTGACTACCAATAGACTACTGCTGACCAGAAGCCTTACCAATAACATACACTGTTAACACATATTTTGTGTGTTATATGTATCATATACTGTATGCTTACAATGAAGTAAGCTAGAGGAAAAGAAATGTTATTTAGAAAATTGTAAGGAAGAAAACATAACATTTACAGAGCATTGTACTGTATTTATCAATACCATAGTTTGTCTCTTTACAAGGCGACTCGTCTGTCAGTACCTACATCAATATTGTCTCATATGATACAAAACACTGTAGATGCTATATGTATTACTAACACTAGACATCAAAAATCAAGAGATAATGTGAAAAATAAATTCACATTTATTTACAGGCATAACAGTTCATGCCCTGATAATAAATAAGCGACAGTATGATTGCTCTGTGGTAGCCTAGCCTATACACCGATGTCACATTCGTGACATACCTGATTTTTTCTTAATTTTTTCCATGTTTCTAGGCTATATGGTTTTTCTTGTGAGTTTTTTTCAAATCGTCACAAATCTCAAAAACTTTTTCCAGTATATTTATTGAAAAAAATCCACCGTGAGCCCACACAGTTTAAATGCATGTTGTCCAAGGGTCAACTGTATATTTTTTAAAGCCAAAAAAAGTTATTAAATGAATAAATCTAATCACTGGACAAAAATATACACCTGGAATCACATGCTGTGACTCATGTGTTGGATGGACTCCGTCATCTGTGGTTAAGGATGGGTAGAGGAGGCAACCAGCACCATCAGGGCTGCTCCCAGAGATCCAGGGAGAAGGACCCTCCGAGGTCTCAGTGCCTGCAGACAGCGCGTGTCTCAAGCCCAGTTTGCACCATGGTTGTACAAGGAGGGTCCTGTCTTTCTCACCCTCTCCACTCTTGACTGGCGGCAGGTGGAACTAATAAATACAAATTTCCAGTTTTCTCAGTACAGCTCAACAGCATTGGTAAAGATTTGGTTGCTATAAACCGGACTCATCCATGCGCCTGCCAGAACACAGCACCTGTAATTGTCCTGGTTTGCTCGAGGTGGCTGCCACCTGTGTTCTCAGGTTTTAAGTGCTTGTCATTCAAGTGAAACATACTTGTCCATGTAACGACGGTCTTATGTTCCACCTGAGGGACTCGGGAAACACTGGTGTAGGGTTTTGTGAGCCTGGCAGCATCACTCCCATTTTACTAACGAGGAAACTGAGGTCTAGACAAGTTAAGGAATTTGCCCCAGACCGCCCAGCTAATGACAGCCTGGATTCCAATGCAGGTCATCAGATTGCAAAGTGTGTCCAGCCAACACTCTTATTACACCTCCTCCCTAAGAGCGCCCATTTTTGTGCAAAATGGAGGCGCTTTTTACGTAGGAATAGTAGTTATTAGTTTCCTAGGAGTGCTGTGAATAGCATTGTAATATTTCAGTTAAAAAGCTGCTGTGACGACTCCTCGGAACGTGTGCAGCCAAGTCTGTTCCTGTGCTTTTCAGTATCTTAGTTGTTGTGGAAGCATTTGAAAATGGTTTTGATTCTGTGGACACCAGAGAACCTAAGTTATTCTTGGGTTTAAAATTGTCATTTGGGTTTTTCCTACAAAAAGACGCTCATTCAAAGTGGTGGTGTTTTTTTAAAAACATCACAGTTGAATAATTTTTTAAAATATAAACATAACATTTTACAGAAGGCTGGAAAGTGAAAAGTCAAGTTCTTCCTCTTTCTGACCCCTTTTTCTGTCCCTGGACGTATCCGCTGACAGTTTATGTACTATTCCAGGCATTTCCTGTGAGTAATAGTTGCACGTGTACGCAGACACGCACGCAGACATACACAAAACTTGTTCTTTTTGCTGAACGGTATATCCTTATCTTGGATACCTTTCCTTACACCACATCTTCATCAACTCATTCTTTTCAGACTGTTACTGAATCAAAATAGTTTTATTCAACCAGTGTCTGTGAATCTCCTTATAGGTCTGGAGAGAAGTAGGTAAAAAGAAAACAAAAGGTGCTAACGTACTTGTGCTGGAATGGGTGCATCTCTGGTGTGTGAGGGAGCTCAGAGGAAGGTGTAGTCGTTTGGGGGTGGGGGAGGGCCCTTCTGGAGCTTCATTGAGGCAGTGAGGCTCCAGCCTACTTCTGAAAGCTGTGTGCGGGGCCGGGGTCTCCCTCCCCGCCTGGCACTGTGTGTGTGTGTGTGTTTCCATCAGAAGGAACAGACAGTGCGAGCACAGTGGGCAGGAGCT